TGAAACGTCTTGATTTTGATAAAGAATATCAAATAGATGTACGAGTGAAGAGACTTGAGGGTTATAAAATCAGCGAAGTAAGTACAATTAAAGCAAATACAACTACTTTTGCACCGGGCCCGCCGATAGATCTGCATTGTATGTGGACGTTGTCTGATGGCTTAGAGTTGCGCTGGCGCGCGCCCTTACGCTCTGGATGTGTACTCACCACCGCCCACGTACGCATCACCCGAATCACTCACTGGTACGACCATGTGTTATACAAGAGAGACTTGAGCATTAACAGCAACAACTATACCTATGTCCACGCGGTGAACGTGACGCTGGAAGAGGGTCATGCGATATGATGTGTTCGTGTATTTCGGCACGGGCTCGAATAAGCTTGGTAAAGAGGCACATGTGGCTAGTGTGGCGTCTGGCCTTCCGGATTAAACGTAACATCGGGCTCACATAATGTCGCTCACGAAAACAGACAAAGTCATAACGGACGGGGAAAACGTGACAGAGGCCACAACTATAATGGACAATGACGCCAATGTTGATACCACAGAGACAATGACCGATGATTATATCACAGAGACAATGACCGATGATAATACCACAGAGACAATGACCGATGATAATACCACAGAGACAATGACCGATGTTGGCGCCAAGACCGCAAGCACAAATGAGGGTGGTAATCTATTATGGGGACTACTGTTGCTGTTGTTCATAGGTTTGTTGGTGGTTGGGGTATTTTTCGCGGTACGCCGATGGGGTTCCCGTTGGCAGTTGGCGTGTTTTTCGCGGGATGTCGATGATATGTTGGCGACACCTACCAACGCTGTAATCATGACAAACGAAAAATTTATTCAAGAATCAAGAATATAATACAAAAAAAACAACATGTAATGTAAAAAATTATTTTATTTGCTATTATTTGTAAAAGAAAAATGACAATAAAAATTTCAGCAAACAACCACGGACTTACGCTCTTACTCTGTGTATGCGCGAATGTAAACTAATCAGAAACCAGTCCCGAATTGAGTCTCTAGGTGCCGCTGTTTTCGTTTCATCGTTAGTTGTAAAATTCTCCATAATTTTCCTATTGCATGTAAAAAAATAAAATGCCCCGGTTACTTTAAAATTTATTTTTATTTCTTTCTGATGTATGTATTATATTGGTAGCGTTATCTCTCATTTTTTTTAGAAAAATTCAAATAATCGAAATCAAAAAAATATCCCAAGTCACAGTTTGCCTATAGAAAGGAAAAACGTAAAATAAAGCAATGCCAAATAT